TGTGTGTGTGTGTGTGTGTGTGTGTGTGTGTAGGACTCAGCGGTGGTCATTTGCACTCATTAGGACAAAACCTGTTTCAGTGAAAATACAGTTTATTTTGAGAAAGGATGAAATTGGACATTGACCCATAAACTGCAGGGAACCAGTTAATGAAGCTCTGTGGTAAGATTCTGGAATGTTGCTCTGTCTGTCTCCAAACACATCAGGTTAGATTTCAAACTAACAAGAATTGTCAAAATTAGCTGAGAGAACAGTTAGAGACGTTTTGAACTTGACAGCATTTATAAGGTAGAGTAGCTGACAAACCAAACAGAACCTGAAACATAGCTATTGATCAATACGGAGGCAATTTATTGGCTCATAAATAAAGACAAGTGTAGTGGCCGCACTGAGAATAAACCTTTTCAACATGTCAAATTATGATGAGGCATTGCATCATGGGACCTTCTTTATTTAATAGAGTATTGAATAAACCAATATGTTGTAAAATGACATATGACAGATATAATATAATAACAGCTTAGCTGATATTACACTATTATCCCTGGATTTCTGATGTTAGATGTTCCAATTCTGATATCAGTATCAGAAATGGAAAAATCAATATGCAAAGTCCAGGTATCGGAATCAAAATCTCTAGTTTATTTGTCTCCTTCGATCGTGCAGAGCCAAAATAATTCAGATCTCTCAATTATTATAAAGACAAATGTCACTTTTCATTTAATAAACTAAATAACTTCTCCTGTGACTGTCAATTTGAAGTGAGCAATTTCTACACATCACTTTGAGCTTTGGTGAATGTGTTTAAAAGAAAACATCTCAGGCTTCTGGTCATACTCAGGTCCTGATACTGAATACAGGTTCGTGAATAGACAAAGATTATCGATATATAAATAATAGACTGCGTATCCTGAGTGAAGTCTCTCAAGATAGTTTTCAGTAGTGGACGTACAAAACCTCTCACTGTATTTCTAGAGAAAGGGGCGGCATCATTTAAACCTCAGGCCAACACGGACTCTGTTATTGTATTTTGCAGCTTAGCAGCTTTGACTCTTGTATCTTAGCTGCATTTGTCTGACTTTGCTGTTTGTGTGACCCAGTTTCTACATCTACTACATTATCAGACAAACACAAACATACAGGAACCACCTTGAAAACATATTCCTCACCACTCTAAATCTAAAACTTGATAAACCCTCACATACCGATACATGTTCTTTCTCAGGTTTGCACCACGCAGTAAGTTCTCACTTGTTTTAATTTAGTTGTCATTTCTGTTTTTGTGTCAAGACTTGTAGAGTCAAAATGCAATAACAGCTTTAGTCTTTGTATACAACCCTATTAAGCGCTGTATAACTTTGTTTTCAAAGATTTCATGGTACAACTCATTATTTTGTGTGTGTGTGTGTGTGTGTGTGTCTCAGAGCTTCTTCTCTTTTGCTGGTTATTGGGCATTGAATGTGTTATAAAAATATTTGAGGGTATGTCACTGAGATAAATTGCTCACACATTTCCAGAGTGTCCTTGATTTCACCACTAGAGTTAAAGTCTGTCACACAAAAGCAATTTTCAAAGTCTGTTATTCTGAAGCAGTATTGATTCTAAAGCTTTGTCTCACTGTTGAGATCCTGTTCAAACCTTCTTAAAACTATTCTTGTGTAAAGCAGACTGATGGTGTAACGTGATTTTTATATTACTCCCGAGTGGGAAATGTATTGTAGGTTACAGTTCAGGGACGGCTACAGAACAGCACTTCTGGACCAGGTCAGAGTCTGGCTGACATGAGGCCTGATCCTTTTACTGAGCAAGATGGTCCGTCACTCACTGCTCCTCAGCCTGCTGCTCAAAAAAAGTGTTGTAAACCCACGTTTGAGTTTCCTCGCTCCAGGGTGCAGCTGTTACACTCGTCAGTTCGCCCTCAAACGAACACTCCTACTGTCTGGAGAGCAATTTACAGAACGGGGCCGAACAGTCCTCAACCTTTAGTTCAGAATCGAGTCTCAGAGCTGCCTCTCTTCAGTGTGTTGCTGTTAAACTCGTCATGTTCAAAGCTCAGATTGTTATGCGACCTCGATATCATTAGCAGCTTCTCGCGCTTACTGAAGTCGCGCCTCGCTGTCGCCGACAATGACATGTCTAGCAGCCGCTCCCCTTGCTCCTCCCTGTCCTCCAGCCGCGTGTAGCCTTTACTGCTGCCCCTGTTGCCGCTGATACTGCGGCTGCTGTTGCTACGGTCGAGGCGGGGCCAGCTGGGGTGCTTGCGCTGCTCCGGGTGCACGCTGAGCATGCACGGCCCGCGCTCCAGGTCCAGAGATTTAGAGTGGCTGCTGAGCATGTGCAGAGAGTTGTTGGAGCCAAAGTCACTCCTGGCTGCTCCCGGAGAGAGCCAGCAGCCTGAGGTAGAGGAGGGAGCAGGGGAGAGGGAGGACGAGGAGATAGAGGAGCAGTGGGATGAGGAGGAGGCAGAGTTACTTCGGTGTAAGCTCGGCGGTTTGGAGGCCTTGGCAATCGATGCTACTGGAACCACCAGAGACTCCATGGAGCTCAGGGGCTGCGCCCTCTCTCTGTCTCTCCTCTCTCCTCCTCTATCCTCCTCAGTGATCACCTCCATCTCTGGCTCATCAATAACACAGTTGTTGAGTTTTATAACAGGGAGAGTAAAAGCAGAGATGGAGGAGGAGACGATAGAGCGAGCATGGTGTCCTCCCTTTTCCCCGTCTCCGTCCATCGACCACTGATGGTGCATTGAATCAGAGTGGCCCAGCCCCAGCCCAGGCCCACAGAGGGGCCGATCTTTGTAGAGCGGCGCCAGCAGGCCCGCAAAGCTACAATCCAACTTAGCCTGCTCTCTCTGTCTGTGAAACTCATCACCCAACAGCACCTCCTCCTCCATAGAGCCTCCTCCACCTCCAGCACGAGAGGAGAACGCCAGGAGGGAGTTGCTGGCTCTTCGAGCTGCGTTATCAGCTCCGAAGCCTCGAAGGTCCCCAACTTCTCTTGCATAGGCGCTGTTGCGGTGGTGCTGTTTTTGCTCCTTCTGCCTGAGGCGATGGATGTCAATAACCGTGGAGTACATGTCTCTCATATGGATTATCTAGTGCAGAAGAGAAATATATTATTAGGAGCAGTAGCACTAAGCTGAAGATTGCCTGGCAATATGTTTAATATTCCATTTTATCCAATTATTGTTCCACCGTTTTGGATTATTTTGCATTTATGTTGCAATGTTGTTTGATTCTCACACGGATTACATGCAAGGGAAGATGGGAGAATTAATTAAATCAAGGAGGGGAAGGTGAAAGCACGAGAGCACAGAAATCTGATCTGCATGGTAGTTAAGAACAGTTGATGAATATGGATGAGTGCAGTGAGCATGCCCCTCACTTTTTATAAAGTGGATGAAAAACAGAAATGAGAATATGCTAAATGTGAGGTCCATGACATTAAAGTACAGTAAATTGAATCCAGCTCTGGTTTCACATTGCAATTTAGGGAGCAACACAAAATATATAACCCACAAATACATAGTACAGTACATAGTTCTAGTATTTGATGAAGTCTATGAGTACAAGAATATATATATACATACGGTATATATGTATATTCCTGTGTGTGTGTGTACCTTTGTTTCTCTGTCTCTGTTTTCATGAAGAATGGCATTAGCACAAATAAAGATAAAAATCCCAATGCCCATGGTGAAAGGCCCAAACATCTTCATCCGCTCAGAGTGAAGATGCTGCTCCAGGAACCTCGTCAGAGCCCCCCCTGTCTGCTTGGAGGGTGTCCCTACATGAACAAGACATACAGGGATTAAGCCTTTTAATATAATATTATTAATAATAAATGTTATTATGGTTCTTTCCTCACCTTGCACATCATGGCTCCTGCTGGACATACCCTCATCCCCCTCTGTGACGGACATCTTGGCTCCGGCTCCTTCACGTGTGGAAGAAGACTTGTCTCCTCCAGCTGCTGCCGTCTTTGATCCTCCTCCAATCGTCGATTTGGCCGAGGGCATGGTTTCCCTGTGCGGCCAGTAACCCAGCGTCGCCATGCAGATCCCTATGGCTAAGATGACCAGTCCCAGGAGGAGGAAAAACCCAGAGGCGGAGTAGAGGCGGAGCCTGCCGCGTACCACCACAACATCGGTGCGTCGTTTCCTTTTTCTAAATGGATAGAAATGAAAGAAATCACCATTGAGACTTAAATTTGGTGACATATAGTGTAAAGACTGTCAACTATAACAAGGGGCAAAAAATAATGTCACAAATACTATTTTAGTTCATTTCCATTTACACTTTTTAAATATAAGCTTGAGATGAGCACCTGGGAGGAGCCTCTGGGACGGGGTTTCCCAGGCCTGGTGATGTAGACTGTCCAGATCGAAGCTGAGAGCGGGCAGAGTCCTGGCGTTTTAGCTTGGCCAAGCCTGTTAGCACACCGGCTGCTGCAGTCATACTTAACCTGCAGGTTTACATGCAGACGCACATTAGTCATGAGTCTGAAATAACCAGTGCTGTCCAGCACCTGTTATGAAGGCGTGTTTGTGCCACAGATCAAGGGACCACTTAAAGCTGATGATTTCTAATCTTATAAAACGATGCAAATCAAAGGTTCGGTGTGTACGATATGATGACATCTAGTTGCAGCTGAATACCTCTCACCACACCCTCCCCTTCCAAACCTGTGGTAGCCTTCAGTTTTCATAAAATATCAAAAGGTGTTTAGTTTGTCCAGTCTGGGCTACTGTTAAAAACATGGCACCCTCCATAGAAAGGACCCACTCTTGATGTAAATATATAGTATTTATATATGAAGGGCTCATTCTAGGGTAAAGAAAACAACAATTTATACAATTCAAATGAAATACATTAGTGACAACATCACTATTCAATTTTTGCCAATAGATCCCTTTCACCCATATCTTTCACACTGAACCTTTAATAAAAGAACAAAAGAAAACATCCTTTAGATAGAGACAAATATAGACACATTAACATGAAGAAAAAACATTGCCAGCGAGAATATTTAAGAACAAGGGGAGCACATATGCATTTCAGCATAGCCGAAGTCTGCCAGATGCTCTTTAGGAGGTGTGGGTTGAACCAGTTCCAAGAATCCCAGCTCCATTTGTCATATTTCCTGCATATATTTTTATTCTTCAGTTATTTTTGACACAAAAATATCAGGGAATAAAGGGAAAGAGTTTTGCTGTCTTTCAAAGTACAAGGAATTCTATTCACAGTCGAGCAGTGATACAGATGTGAGCAGCTAAAGGAGAACACATCCAGTTCAACGTTACCCCTTCTGTTTACTGTTGATGTTAAACTGATGACTATCAGCCTTGGAGACTACATGGACAGGGGTGTGTGTGTGTGTGTGTACTTGTATTTATTTTTGCAGGATTTTTGTTTACTGCTCTTCCTGTATGTATGAGAGAGAAACTCTGACTTTAAAGAAACAGGAGGATCAGAGAGTTTGAAACGGAGCAGTCAGAAAGAGAAAAACATGCTGTCTTGGATTGTGTTTGCATGTTTATTGTCACCTTATTGCTGCTGTTGAAAAGAAATGGAAGCGTGGAAAAGTGGAGAAAGCTGGAAATGATAATGTTCAAATGAATCCTAGTCTTTCTGCACACCAGCTGCTCAGATGTCTATTAATAATTATCAAGAGTTAAAGACTCAAAAACAAACCCAGGCTTATTTTAGAAGCCTTCATTTGGGTTTAAATGCCTGTTAATCTGAGCTCACATGAGCATTAGCATTGTCCTGTGAACCATTATGAGATTAAACAGATTGCATTAGATGTTAAATAACCAAGGTACTGAATAGTAGTGGAAGTAAAATTATTCTTCTTCATTGCTACAAGTTCATTAACTGTTTTTGTTGCGTGCCATGTTAGAACTCCTGTAATACCTTCAGGATGATATCAGAAATAACAAGTTGTCATAATATAGCCAGAACAATCTCCAGCACATAGCTCTGTTAGACAGCTGGAACATTTCAAATGTTAATCAATATTTATTATTAATGGGCATGAGACACAGGAAGGTCTCCAGCTAAATTCTAAACTTCTATGTTGATAATGTTTGTTGATGACACTAAGATTGTTTGGTATCAGAATTATTGTTTAAAGACATTGTTCTATTTGTTGCATGATCAACAATTTAACAACTACAAGGTTTTTTGGTAGCAGCTGTGACATCTGTCGTGTTACATGTTAGTAGCGTTAAGTTAAAATGGGACTCATTATTAGTTAGAACACGATTGTGACTCATTACTATCAGTTGGAATATGATTTTTATTCAACTGTGATACATTTCATTGATAAATGCACATGATTGCACTTATGGACCAATCAATGTGTTTCATAAATTGGGTGAAATGTATTTTGATTGACAGCTGGTTGTGACTCGTGACTGGTTGAGTCGGTGGGACCTCGTTCCTGCAGCTCCATCCCAAAATCACTACTGCACAGACTCCAAGTGACATCTTTGACGGAAGATAGCAGCTCTTGAGTTCAGGATATTCAGGCTCGGGGTGAAGACAAGAAGCCGTCCATCTTTATCATCAATCTATGGCTTAGAGGCTACTGTACATACCCACAGGGGAAAAGCCTTCTTCATAGAACTGTGTTTTTGCTTAAAATGCCCCCTCTGACTTGTCTGCACTGCCTGATGCATTATCTTCAATTAAAACATTGATTTAGATTGTTCCGAATGGTTATCACTTTTCTGCACAGTGTACGTCTGTTACATGAGACGATAAAACGGATTTATCATGGGAATGAGAACACACCCATGACCTTCACTTGTCTATTTATTAATTTATCTCATCTTCCTTGCTCCCACATGCCCATTCACACTCTATCCGCTAATGCATTCTGGTTGTGACCCTGAATAATCCCCCCCCCTTCACGCTCTCGCCTCTCTCTCTTTGTCTTTTCCTC